AAAATGTTTATTTTTAAGAGACAGAGAGACAGAGCGCGAGTGGGGAAGGGGCAGAGAGAGAGAGAGAGAGAGGGAGACACAGAGTCGGAAACAGGCTCCAGGCTCAGAGCTATCAGCACAGAGCCCGAAGCGGGGCTCCAACCCACCAGCTGTGAGATCGTGACCAGAGCCAAAGTGGGACACTTAACCGACTCAGCCACCAAGGCGCCCCTGTGATGAGAACATTGTCAAAGGACACATTTCGGCTACTCTATAATTGGTGGTGAATTTGCAAGTAAGCTGCATATTGAGAAGTGGGACTCCAATGAATTGCAAAGCAAGCCTTGCCCCCAGGTTTATTCTATGCAGACAATGTCTTCACAGGAAACGTTTAGAATACCGACAGTGTTGCATATACCATCAGGAGCCTATCTATGCTGCCTTCTCGCTCCACCTGGATTGTTCCAGAAACCATGGAATTCCTTGCTGGAGCCTCTCCTCCTCCCCGGACATCTGGTGCAGGTCAGCATTTCACAGAGAAGTCTCTCCTCAGTCACTCTCCTGCTTTAAACACAGGAGGAAAGGGGCACCTGGCTGGCTCCGTCGGTTAAGCGGCCGACTTCAGCTCAGGTCACGATCTCGCGGCCCGTGAGTTCGAGCCCCGCGTCGGGCTCTGTGCTGACAGCTCAGAGCCTGGAGCCTGTTTCAGATTCTGTGTCTCCCTCTCTCTCTGCCCCTCCCCCGTTCATGCTCGGTCTCTCTCTGTCTCAAAAATAAATAAACGTTAAAAAATAATAAAAAATTAAAAAAAATAAACACAGAAGGAAGATCAAACTCCCTCGCGTGGCACACAGGGCCCTTTAAAAGCTACCCCCGGTCACCTTCCAACTCCCAGCCTCCTGCCACACAGCCCCACACGTTCCTGCTTCTTCCCTCTCCCTGGGATGCTGCCCGCTGTTCCCACGTCATTCAACTTATCACACGCAGAAAATTCCAGGAGCAGATCAAATGGCATCTTTTATCAGTAGCGTGCTGTGTATCTCACACGTACCTTCCATTTCTCAGCTCTGTGCTCCCATAACATTCAATTCCCATCTCTATGACAGCCCTTTCCACACCGATTACAGCCAGCTCCCTGCCTTCCCAGCAGGCTGTCAGCCTCTCCAGAGCACAGACGCTATTTCCTTCATCTCGGGTCTCAGTGCCTAGCACAGGGCGGGATCACAGCAGAGGTGCGAGCTCATAATGATGCTGACAACTGAAATGATCCTGCCATAATAAATGTAGCCACGGCTAACACTTACTGATTGCCCACGAGGCACCAGAACTGTAGGTATTTGATACATTCTATACAATTTCATCTTTGCACAACTCTGAGGACGCAGTGCTTTCTCATACATAGATATTCTGAGATCTTAAACTGTTTAAATACTTTTCACAAGCTCTCAGCACTAATAGGGGGTGGAATAATGATTTAAACGAGGTCTCCCTGAGTCCAAAGTCGATGTTCTGCAAACTCAACCTGCAGGATGCTCTGATTTGTTCTGCATGTATTATCATTTTCACAGTTTAACATTCTACATCACTATGAAACAGATTCTAGTGGCATAAACACATTCACATCTTTGGTGTTACCAAAAAAGTCCTAATGTTGACAATTAGCTCCATAATTTGCAATTTTAAGCTGCTCTGAAAGATGTCCCATTAATACACCATAAGCTATTAAACACGTAAGCCTATGTTTAGCCTACTATAGACAAAACTTCTTAATGAAACATTTTTTTTCTTTTTTCATTGTTTTAGGGGATGAATGGTGGGGAGCATAAGGAACAGGTAGAGTTGTTTCCTGGAAACGTACTCTACTCGTAAGTTAAAAGTTAATCTGAATCTCACATAAAGAGAACGTAATATTGGGGCACCTGGGTGGCTCAGTGGGTTAAGCGCTGACTTCACCTCAGGTCACGATCTCACAGGTCATGATCTCACATACGAGTTCGAGCCCCGAGTGGAGCCCCAAGTCAAGCCCCCAGTCCGGGCTCTGAGCTGACAGCTCGCAGTCTGGAGCTGTAGCAGGATTCTCGCACAGAGAGTCCTGACGCTGAGGCTTTTCTTTCCAGGAAGCAACTTCACTCCTGCTGGTACTGCTCAGTTGCGTTCATACCCGAAGAACTGAGCCCCCAAACAGCCCAGGGGGTAGTTTTTAGTATATTTTCCACTTCTTTGTCTCCCATATATGGGAGTGGTCTCATGTTACAAGGTCATGAAGGATGTTCTCAGGTGCACATAGAGCCAGGTTGCCTTCATGATTTTTTTCCTCCTTAGGGAGGGGACCCTATCACAGAGCCTGCTTCAGATTCTGTCTCTCTCTCTCTGCTCCTCCCCCGCTCATGCTCTCTCTCTCTCTCTCTCAAACATACAATAAACATTAAAAAGTAATTTAAAAATTACGAAAAGAAGAGAACATAATACTAATACTTTACTGAAAGACATTAACGATACAGTAAATGAGCTTCGACTTTCGTTCGGACGATAAATTTAGAATTGTTTGTCCTTTCGGCAAAAACTAACTTTTGTTTTCATTTCACTACTTTGCCCTGCCTAAGAAAGCCCGTGTGACGGATGGCCTTTTCCGAGGCTTTACATCAGAACTTGTGACCTTATCACATCAGTGAAAAGGCCTTTATTGGGTTGCCAGGGAGCATGCGTGCGCCAGGCACGCCAGCCCCTCGTCTCGTAGTTGAGACGTACTAACAAGTACTTAGCAAAGAGGCAGCAGTACTGAGCCACAAAGGGGACTCCTGCTTCGTGTCTAGCAACCCCTCCTTTAATGGTTGAGTCCTCCCGCGCTAGCAATGGCCGCAATCACATCCCCAGGCAGCCAAATCCGTCCGCGCAAAGCTCTCCTTTAAGGCTTCTCTCCCGCTCCCGAGAAACGTCTACGTCCAGGCAGCATTTGCACACTTACTTTTTCAGTTTTTGCCGAATCCCTGCGTCTTTAATCTCGTTCCGAAGGTCCTCGAACCTCTCCGCGGAGCTCAAGTTGCAGAACACCCGGAAGTCGGCGTAGGGGGGGATGCCGTGGTCCCGCCCCCTCTGGATGTTGGTGGCCGCCAGATCCAAGGCCACGGAGCGGGCGCTGGAGAAGAGCTTCTCGCTCAGCTCCAGGCTCAGCAGCTGGGACGGCACCCGCAGTTTGGCCGCCGTGCCAAACAGCCCCCGAAGGAGGGGGTCTATCCCGCCCTCGTCGATTATCCTGGACGGCGCAAAGAAGGCCTTGTGCAGTGGCAGGTGGCCTTCGGGGATCTCCCCGAAGCTGCCGTTCAGCCGCTGCAGGACCGGGTTGATTAACGTGTGGCCGAACCTGAAGGCCGCGGTGGCGAAGGAGTTCAGGATGCCCGCGTTCACACTGGGGTCGTAGCCCCGGTACCCCCGCAGCAGCCTCATGCCCGGCTCCCCCAGGATCTTGGGCAGCCAGTGGCTGTAGGTGATGTGCTGCAGCTCGGCGCCCACGATCTTCCTGGCCTCGTGGTACAGGGTGTCTCCGTCCCAGTGGGGGTTCAGGGCGCGCAGCTCCGCGGCCAGCCTGTTGTGCTCCCGGAGCCACAGCGTGTGCATG